GTTCCTGAATCATTTACTCCTTCACTGACGTTGCTGAGCCCACCGACATCTCTTATTCATTCCATGAGGGCAGGAGGGCACCTCGTGTTTTCCCTCGAACATGTGTCAGCTTCTTTAATCGCATAATAACACATGCAGAGATATGCATTAATGCAGACTCTGACAGCTGAAGGTCAGCCGGCTCCACGGGGCTAAAGACATCCATGAAGTCCAAAGTAGAGGAGAGGAAGAGCAACGCTCAAGCCAGCCAACCAATGTGCAGGTCTTAAAAGTTAGCAAATAATAATTTCACACGTTAAACAATAAACCACACTTCCAAGTTTAACTTCGATCATTTAATTTTGCTGTATGCTTTACCTCAAAGATCGATTCTGCACATCTGTTCAAAAATATCTTATAAAATGTGACGGTGTGGGTCTGTAGGAAGCAGCTACACGTCAGCCAGTAGGTGATAGTTCTGCAGGTCAGGTCAAAACATCCTTGAACACAACCTCAGACACAGAGCCAGGATGAACTCCAGGCTGTTGGCTGGACTTTTATGGGATTTGTTGGAGACGGGATGAATTCTAATAATAACGCGCCTTGAGGCGACTTTTGTCTATATAAATAAAATTGAATTGAATTGAACTAATAACATGTTCATACAGCTTATTTTAGCCGATTTAAAAATGGGGCTTTGGGCAGCCTGTTGCAGAAACACATCATTTGCTCCTGTTTCTTTCTGTGGAATGAAAACAGTGTTTTTGCACCAACGATGTGATTCTTGTAGGTGCAAGCTGAGAGTCGGGCATTTCGTGTGCAGTGTATTCATAAAAATGTAGGAAACTACAGAGAGGACACAGAAGAAATGGAGGGCTCTTCCTCTGCAGATAAACAGTATCTGAGAGTCATAATCTGAAAGAATAGGAAGACTTATCTGCTCCTTTAACGTGATCAGAAATGTTCTCAGTCTGAAAGGAAACAAAGTCCACCATCACACCGCACAGTAACAGCTTCCCACTGCAAGCACAGTGCAGGATGGAAATCCTCACATGATTATTAAACAAACACATATTTGTTAATAGATGAACAAACCTGGTTGTGTCTCATTTAAACAGGGCTGTGACAATGCTGCTGTAAAACGCTCGTTTACTCCTTTTAAAGTTGTGGAGGGAATATTAGGCTCATCACTGCTTTGTTCAGCAAACTGGATCAAAGTGTCAGAAACTAAAACAAATAAAGTTTAGGGTTTCAAAATGACAACACTGACGTGTCACTTACAGAGCAGTCGGTGTATTTCTGGCACAAAGAGTTTAAAACCCTCCATCTCTGTTTCCTGTGTCATAGCAGAAAAGCACGATGATGTTGGATATGACTGTCACATAAATACACTGCATTTACTTCTTCTTCTGTTAGTCACGGAGCCTTTACAGTGACAGCGGATGAAAACTGAACAGCTCTCTGCCTTAAGTGAACTTGTGATGGAGCAGTCAGCTGTTTTTGCCTCAGATGCTCAAACATCACAGAGTTATTTGTAGTTTTTAATCCTTTTGTACTCGCAGCTCCTCCTGTCCTGTAATGTTAGAAGAAGCATCTGCGACACACAGAAATGGTGAAGTGAGGAACATGTAACATGTGAACTGATGAGCAGAGTCGGATTCAGTGCTCAAAAGCAAACATATTGTCTTTGACAGCCTCGCAGATACATCCAGGATGACGATGTCATCGTGTTTGGATGAAGGTGACCGTGCCTCGGCAGCGTGAGCCGGGTCAGGACGGCGGGTGGTCGGCAGAGGGAAGTGAGAGACTCACAGAGGCGATAGACTGTAAACAGCTGTGGTTTACGTATTCTGATAAAAACTCTCGGCTCCATTTGAGATGAAAGATCTGCTTTCTTTCCTTTTTTTATTCGAAGCTTTATTTTAGTCTTAATCATCAGACCTGACTGCTCTATGCAGTCGACCGTTTTGTGGAAAACACACACTTTGCTTCACATATAGTAACATCTGTTATTTTTGTCGGCTGTTCCTTATTCCAGTTAAGCAGGGACATTTGTGGCATCCGATGTCAGAAAGGCCACGTGTCTTGCAGAACGAGTCGTCATATTCAACAGAGTCTAAGATGAATCAAATATGATAGTGATCGTCCCCACAGCAAACCTATCGTGTCCTGATTCGAGTGACTGCCAAGATTCCACTTTTTCCATCCATCCGTTCTCTTCCGCTTATCCTGGTCAGGGTCGCGGGGGCCGGAGCCTATCGCAGCTGTCTGAGGGCGAAAGGCGGGGTCCAGCCTGGACAGGGCGCCAGTCTGTCACAGGGGTGTCACACAGACAACCATTCACGCTCACATTCAAACCTGTGGGCAATTTAGAGTTTCCAATGAACCTAAAGCCACTAACTGGTGTCTCTGTGGGAGGAAGGCGGAGGACCGGGGGAGAACCCACGCCGCCGTGCCGCCACGCCGCCGTGTCTTAGATTTCATTCACAGAAACTATTTCAGGTCTTTATTGAAAGCTCTTTGTGTTTTCAACTTGTTGGCATTCATCAATGCTCTAATAATATGATGCTTCTTACAGCGTTCGACTGCAAAGACGAACTTAAAGTTTGGAGATCAAAGCTCTGTGAGGTTCACAGAAAACCAGCAAAGAAACAAACAGAATGACAAACAGGATTTTTATGTATTTCTACAGCAGTGAACTTATTCTGATGATCTTTCTGTATTTGTATGAAATGGATGTGCCGACAGTTTGGAGGCTGTGAACCTGAACTTGCCCCGTGTGTCGTCCTCTGTGAGTGTAAGTGGGCAAAGTGCAGATGGAAATTCCAGCGCTGCTAGAATGGTCCCTTTTCCTGTCTACGCCCCTGTGTTTCCTGCCTGCTGTACATGAATAGGTGTGTTGACTTTGAGACCAGAACATCGGACTTTGGGGTACATATTTGTCTGACTGTGGGAAAGGGTGTTGGTTTCTTTGGGTCGTTCGCCAACACTAAATCTCCACTTGGAGCTCGCTCGGACTCCTGACGTCGAATCAGACAGTGAGGTCTAACTGTGGTTTAGCCTAATTAAAGGCCTCCCAGACAACGTCTCAAGTCTTCTTTTGTCACAAAAGCAGCGTGTACTTACTCCTTGTGCTTGTACAGCCTTGTCATAGACCCGTCCACTGGCGCCATTAGCAGTCATGTGAGGGAGCTGCCCTTTCTAATAAGCATCTGTGCAGAGATGACCTTTTGGTGAAGGTGTCCTCACTTCCCGGGAAGTTAAATATATATATATCTCTTTTCTACAGAATGCACAGCACGGATGGAGACCTGTGATGTGTCAGCGTGTCTGTAAACCAATCTCGGGGCTGCAAAATTACTTTGGGAACAGTCTTACAGGGCCCTGCCTCACTGCACCTGAACAATACAGTGGTTCATTCACGGATCAGCTCCTGCCTTCTCTCGCTGTGATGAAAATCAAGTCTTTGTAAGCAAAGATGAGGCGTGTGGAACTAGATAGGATGTAGGTTTATTTCAAAATAAAATCGTTTAAATGCCTTCGATCTGACTCATCCTTTGGTGAACAAAGCCAGGTGACATTTTATTATAAGGTTTACAAAATACGCTGCTGCTGAATGATGTAGCAGGCGGGCTAATGATGGGTCTATAGCACAGTAAGTGGATTCATTTACAAGCAGAGATGGTTCACAGAAAGCAGCAACAAGAATCAAAGGACTAAGCTCATACAATAGTTTCGATTGCAGAAGCGAAATGTGAATAAAAACAGAATGTGATGACTTTCAGACTTTAATGAGAATAACAAACGTGTCAAACGTCTGATCTGAGAGAGTGAACCCTTTTCTGTAAAGTAACAGCTGATTTTGATGTTAGCAACGTGGGAAGGAGGAACAAAAGCAGGAAACTGAAAGGAGTTTCTCAGACGTGACGATGGGCAGAGGTTCATCAGTCTGTACAAACTGTTTTCTGTTTCTGGAACAATTATGAATCCTGTAACTATCTCATCATCTACAGTGCACGATGATTCAGCGCACCTGGAGAAATATCGGTGTGTGAGGGACAAGGCTGAAAGTCAATACTGGACGACCGCGATCAGGCTGAACTGCATGATTCTGTAAAACAGTCATGATTCGGTCCTGCAAATCGCTGCATGGGCTCAGAAGCACTTCTGGAAGTCTGCAAACACAGTTCAAAGGTACAGGCAGGTTTTAGAGCAACATGTGCTCCCATCTACACAACAGCGTGGTGCTGACCTGCCTGCTAACCCAGAGAGGAGACCTGGTTGAGCATCTTTAATCCCACATCACCGTGGAGGAATCAGCATTACTGTCCTTGAAGCCCAGCAGCTGGTCTCCTCAGCTGCCAGATGTTTGCAGGCTGTGGTTAAAAGAAGAGGGGACGCTACGCAGCAGTAAACATCTCCCCGGACCAACTTTCAAATTCAAAATGATCTTCTTTCTTAAAATGTTGATTTTC